TTTATTTATTTTGAATGACAATTAGATTATGGATTGCCAAGTTTCTAAGATTCTACTGTAATTTTAAAGCAGTTAAATTAAATTCATGAAAAGTGGCAAAAGTGACCAACAAAATAACATACAATTAACTTTAGTATCTAGCACAGTGAGATTTACATAATGTTATTCTTGATGCTGTTTTTTTTTTTTTCCTGTTGGTTCTTATTTTGATTGTACCTAGTCCTAGTACTGTACCTAGGCTGTAGGTTGTGGCCTATGTATTAGAATAGCTTATACATGAGGGTGGCCTATAACCAAGGGTTTAGGGCAGTGATGGCGAACCTATGGCCCGCAGGTCAGGCACTGACCCATGCATTGATTTTTATGAACTTATTTTTTATATCATAAAAGAAAGAACAGACAATCAAAAATATTAAAAGAATAATGTANGAAAAAACAATAAAATAATTTTATTTTCAGGAACGGTGGTTTGTAGAACATCAGTAAAGCAATATTATGAAACCAACCGCAAATCTCTTTTCAATTGAAGTGAAAAAGAGCAAAAGGAGTATATATCACGTGTTTTCAAAAATAAAAATGCACAAGCTACATCCTTAATGAAATATATTGGAACTCAATCAAATACTACTGCTGCTAGTTATCAAGCGTCAAAAGCTATTGCTCAATACGGGAAAACTTTTAATGACAGTCATTTTTTAAAGGAAGCTTGGTTGCATTGTGCACCCTACTTATTCGAAGATTGTGTAGTGTTCATATTCACTACATTCAACATTTGAAAAAGTGATTTAGGGAAGTTGTTGAATCTGTCATTTCTTATATTCTTAGTTGAATATTGTAGGAAGTGGTATAAATGACTAGATGTAGCCCACATAGAACTTTAAATATGTAAACATGTGGAATAAACTATTTGAGTTGTTTTTTAATTTAATTCATGTTTAATGTACTGTATATTTCATGTTCTGTTTAATAAAATGTAATCTTTTGAAATCCCCACCATAATTTTTGGAACACATTATATTTTCAACTTATTAAATACAAGTCAATTTTAATTCAAGCAATATCAATGAATACTGAAATCATAAGGATCTCGGAGACTTGTTTGTGACTAAAAGTTTTTGAGATATTTTATCCCAACTTCTTTATTTGAAATATTAGGATTTGAATAATTAATACATGTACAATACATGTATAAATATTAGAACGTGTTTTAAATGAATTGCTATGCGTTACATTATTGAATATGGTTTTCTATTGCACTGCAGAATTTATAGTAATTTTCTTAATTCATAAACCAAAAATTTTGGTACAAATTTTGTTCCGAATTTCAATTGTCTAGACTTGCAGTAACTAAATTAACTATGCAAGTATTTGTAACATTATTTATTCATGCTGTAGTATATGTGCATTTCAAATCACTATATTTTAATGATTTGTTTTCAGTATAACATGAGTATTTATGTGGTGGATGTGGCTGTCCAGTGGTATCAAAACCCCTTGATAATTATACATTTGAGTTAAATTTACCTTAATAAACACCTTCAGAAAATAACAGATATATGTTTATTTTTGATTAGATTAAAATGATTTAACTTGATCTGAAGTTATTTCCTAATATCTCGTATCTCAAATTAATCATTGGGCTCCTTAAGATCTTGAGTTGATCTTGTTAGATTCAGATGCAATCATTTATTACTAAGAAAATTAAGTACAGTGGTACCTCAGGATACGAAATTAATCCGTTCCGAAACTGAGGTCGTATCATGAAAATGTCGTAAGGTGAATCATTTTTTCCCATACAATTACATGTAAAACCAAATAATTCGTTCCAACACGAAAAACACACTCAAATTAAAGCTAAGTAGTACATTAAAAAAAATAATAACTGTAGTAAGGAAAACACTGAAAAATGCGTTTTGTAGTTGTAAATGCATAAATAACCATAATAGAATAATAATTGATTAAAAAAATGTAGTTTTATTTGCACTTTACTTTTGAGGATAGACTACGGTGGAGGAGAGGGAGAAGGGAAATGATACTAAAACTTAACTTACATAACATAATGTNTCGGTAATATTAAAAATAAATACTGTATTTAAATCGTGATCAAATTTTCAGGAAACAAACGTTCGTATTGAATTTGGACTACTACTGACCAGAGCTAACAGACTACCTATTGTCTAAAAGGCCCTCTGGTGGTGCAAGAAGACGGATTTTATAAAATAAAAAGCAGTTGAAACTGCATTTTTGTGAATAAAATATTTGACAAACTATTTATCGTTTTATGACGAGTAAAATTTTTTCGTCTCGTTCGCGGCTTCTAAGTAATGCATAATCCTTCAAGGCGCAAGGCCCTTCGGATTGCGAGGCATAGGTGGTGGCCCATGTTGCCCATACACCGCTCTTGGTCATAGAAATGATGTAATTTGAATATAAATTATTTATAAATACGTATGTCAAATTATATTTTTATTACAAAGCAAAATATATTTAAGAGTTTACGACCACTGTTCCACATGAGACGTTGTTGAAACAAAAAAAGTTATACATTCCATCACATACATAAACAGTATCGTAATTCGCCAAGTGCAAATCAGCAAATTTGTAAAATTTTTGTTTATTTTGAACAATCCGGATAATAGAGGTTTGGATAATCGAGGTTCTACTGTATATCTAATGTCGAATTTATAAAAAAAAAAAGTCTAAAGGCCCGATACAGATACATTTTACTTTATTTTATATCCATACAAAACAAAATTTAAAACAATGGAGTTAACCAAATTTATGTGGCTTGTTATCCATGATTTAGAAATGGAATTAGTTGAATTTCAAGGCAGCATAGTGTGGAAAAATACATTTCAAAACTTGATTTCCAAAGTAGAAGGAAAAATGTCAGAAAGTAGTGCAGATAATAATGATCCCACACTAAAAATTGAAAATATTATATTAAACGCATGGGATTCTTTACCAAATAATTTTATATCAATGAAGAAACTTGCTAATGCTCTTCTTTGTTCACATATTTGTGTGAAAAATTGTTTTCTTCAATAAATTTTGTAAAATATACCAATAGAAATAAACTTGGAAATGAATTGACTGCGAAATGCGTTAAACTAATAAATATGGAATATAAACGTAATATTAAGAAACTATCTGAAAATAAACAAGAACAGTTTTCTTATTAAATATATTTCAACTCTATTGTATTGTACATAATAATAATATCATATCTTCCTTTTCTTTGAAACTCTTCTTGTTTATATGGATGAAAATTAAACTGATGTAATAGTGCTTTTACAATATATCATTAATAACAAACAAGATCAATTGCTGCATTATCACAGTGATTTCNTTATCTATTAATAAATAATATTTCATAATATATATGTGATTTTCTTTATTCCTTGTTCATTGAAATACTCAGTGCAGGAGCGACTGCTGACTGGACATGGTGTCATCTGGTGTGGTAATTCATAGTATCACCCCATTGATATCAATTTTTTTACATCAATCTTTATTTTTTACTCTTTACTTGCAAAAATAAAAGATGTAAAACAAAAAGAAAAGATAAAATTTTTAGAGAATTTTAAAAGTGCAAACCAAAAAAAGTAATTTTTAATCATCCTCCCTCCTTTCCAAATGATGCCACTAACTTAGTGACCCATGAGCTAGTACTAAAAAAAATAATGAACAAAATTTGACACTTCTCAAAAAGGTTCACCATCACTGGTTTAGGGCAATGGCAGCATATTTGGTTCCATTATATAGTGTAGTTCTATTTTGCCTTTTAAAATTTACTTTCTTAATTTTTTATGGTAATTTTTTTAATTAAAGTTTTTACATTACATTATTTTTTATTCCAAGTATCAATCTCAAGCATAACCAATCAACACAATTAGTTTTATATTATTTTTTGTTTTATAAACATGGGAGCTGTTCATAAATTACATAAGGACTGTATTAAATTGTTACCTGGTAGTTGATATCTCAACCTTGTGTAACAGAATGATTCACTTTTGTTTCCGAAGAAAAGCATAGCAAATTGTACTGTTTATGTCACTATTTTGTACATTATACATGTAATTAATAAAGTAGCATAACATTTGGTATCCTGTACTGTGTATTATTTTTTTAGTACAATTAAGAGGTTGATTGAGGATATGCTTTACATAATTTTGGGGTGGATATGAGTGTTATGGAGTGTGATGGTAGTTGAAAAGTATAAAAATAGCATTAATAATATATGGATGATCTCATATACTGTCAATTCTGCTTAATAGCACAGCATTCGGATCAGAGATTTTTGGGGCTACTAGACAAACATCCCAATAAGTTATGCAAGTGAGATACAATATAACGAGTTATGTTAGAGTTATATCAACGCGTGTTCTTACCAATAAATCAAACATCTGAGCACAATAAAACCATTTTAATGACGAGAAATTATTTCTGTACAAAAAAAATCATAGTAGTACAATCTAGAAAATGTGAAGATTCTTTTCCCAGAATGACAGCTAATAAAGGAAAACAGGCAGACATCACATGGAAAAGCCAAAAATATCCAAATTTGTGTCTCTTTGTTTAGTTTTCCATGAAAAATATAGTGCCAGTAGGGCTACTAAGCGGCATTTTGAGTCTTGTAGGTGAAGTAAATTATGCTTGTGTTACAGGATTTGATTATGTTCTTGAATGTTTTGTCCTAATACATGGCATGTCTTACTGACCAGGCTACTAAGTGATTCTTAAAGTTTTATAATTATTTAATTGTAATGAAGATAATTACATTACATATTGAAACACAAAAAGAATTTAATACAGACTATATCATGTAGCCGTTATATATTAATGACATAATTGTGCTAGTATGGAATATAATAAATTTAAAATTGAAAGTATTAATTCCTTCAACTTTGATATATTTTATTTAAATTAACTTTTATAATCTCTATTCAATAATAAGTTATTTATAAAAAAATATTCAATAAATTAGAAGAAACAATNAGACAGAATACAATAAAGAAAGTAATACTTTGAGGCAAGATTATAGTAAGTAATATATATTGATTTTTTAATTTAAATAAAAATAAATAGCATTTGGAAATTTAATTTGGAGCAGGGTCAGTACCTTGCATTCAGGTCTGCCTCAGACAGGATTCTGATGCGATGCATCCTGCTATGCTGATCCATTTTGGAAAAACCAAACCATCCAAGCAGAGACAAAGCAAAATTACTCTGCCATTCATTAGGACTACACAACAATAATCAATGTAGGTAGTACATTTAATGAAAAAATTATCATTTTCACTGCTAAGTGGTGCTGATTGTTTAATATTTTGATGTTTTGTAAAATGACTGTAAAGGAAAACTTATCTGTCACTGAAGCTTTACTAAATGATATTCTTGGGTCAGAAATATACTACTGAAGCTGAAACTAACAAAGATGAATCCAATTTAAGCTCTGTCAGTGTAAACCCCATATTATTGTAAACTCTGTAGCATTCAATTGTATTTTGAAAAGTGCTTTGAATTCTCTCACAAAACAATGAATTATGTTTTGAACAGTTCCTAAAAGCTTGTGAAAGCCTGTGAGTGACACAAGCCAGGCTATGCACTTGCTAGTATACTGAATAAACCAATAGGGAGTGTGGTATTTCTTACTGAATAATAGTGACAAAGAAAAAACAATAAAATAATTAAAGCTTTTCTCTCCTTTATGTAAAAATTAAATATATAACTTTAAATTTATAGTAGTAACCCAATATGACCAAGGATGATTTATGTAATTCATTTTTCAACATTTTTCATTCAACTTTAAACCATTAATGCATAATAAAATAAATATTTATGTATTTAATTTGTAGATACTAAGAAAAACTGAAAAAGAATATATAAGATTAATATTTAGAAAAAAAATTGAAATTTTATAAGATATTTTTAAAAAATACCTGATAATTATTAGTCATACAGTTAAACAATTGTACAATCCCGATTATTCATTTATCATTAATCAACTAACTTGATAATCATCTTGTTCTTAAGAATATTGAATGACTTACTTTAAATTGAATATTGTCTTACAAGTTAGTATATTCTAAATCAACACAATTTTTAAATTTGGCCAATATTTGGTTTTTAAATTGTAAAAATGTGTTTGGTTTCCTTGTGTCAGTTCAGCTATATTAAATTATTTTACACTGGTGTTCTAAAATATTTCCTACCTGCTGAGTTTATGTGAACAGAATGTTAATAATGTAAGTATAATCTATGATGGAGATAATGTATTAGCAATAAGTAATCATAAATATACAAGAAAAATAAAATCTGAAAAGTTTAGTTTTTACTGCAACGTATGTATTCTTATTTGACACACATTTTTTGCAATATGTTCATTTATATATATACATACACACATATACAGTATAAGATGCTTGTTTTGAGGATATGAAGAAGAGTTAATAAACCAAGAGTTTAGACAAAATATTCATGAAAGCAAATACAAATACATTAATATATACATTGTATTCATCAATATTTCTTGGCTTTAATAACAGCTTGAATTCTCTGACATTCTATTACTCAGACTTCAGATAATATCACATATCGCAACTAATGTTATGGTGCCGTACACAAATAATCACTTTTTAGTTCTTATTCTGTTGAAAATTGTCCTTTCTGAAATTCAAGAACCATGAGAACACATTTTCAATTTGGATGAGATCTGATGGACTTTGTTCAATCCAACATCTGTATTACCAGTTATGAGAATGGTTTTTGAGCCTACGAGAAAGGTTGTAATATTGATGACTGAGATGAAAAAGGAACTTATCACAAAGCATGAAAGTGGTACACATTTGGCAGATTATACAGTATTTATGTATTTTACTTATTGCTTTTGTGTTTTAATTATTATTAAGACATTTAGTTGTGTTATTTTTATCTTAAATTAGTGTATTTGTGTATTTGCTGTTTTAAGTTTATTGAAATGGATATTGTTTGGGATCTGGGAATGGATTAATTCATTTTCCATTATTTCTAACGGGAAAACATTGGTTCAGAGTTTGAATGGTTTCCTGGAATGAATTAAATTCAAAATATGAGGCATCATTGTATTTTGCAGTAGGCATGCAATAGCTTAGAACATCAGTGTATATAAATATTAAACAGAATGAAGTTTAGGGATATTTTTAGTATGAATATTTTGTTTAAAAAATTATTACACATATAATTTTCTAATTAAAATATGTTTTACACTTTAAAATATAAATTTTCAATTAACTCATTAACTGACATTGATAATGGAATAATATATCAAAATTTTTTTCAGAAATGAATCTACATTTTTACATTTAATCATCAACAAATGTTATTGCAGATTTGTTATTACATGTTGTTACAGTATTAATTTTATAGCATAATTAGGAAAGAAACAAATTCGTTTCTGCTTTGAACTATACTGATACTGGATAAATATTTTAATACTTTGTCATTCATATACTTACTCAAGTCTTCAGATTTATAAGGATTTTGTTTGGCAAATGATTACTCTGATTTTCATATAATTATTGTTGAATTATTCCTTTTTAGATTTCTAAATTTAATTATAGATGATTTAAATTGTTTGAACATTAAAAAAGGTCTATAACTCTATATGATTTAATGTATTAGTAATGTTTAATCCAATTGTCATTAACCATAGTATTGTTGAATTTATAAATTTTATATTTTTGCAAAAAGTTAATAACTGTTTTTAATAAATAAATTATAATAGGTAAAAAATTTATAGTGTTTCACAAATTTTAAATTTTAGCTTTTTACCACATAATGTTTTAATTTCATAATTTATGATTAAAATTACTCAAGTTTAATAATAATAATAAAATACATTAAATCTTAATAAGTAGTTATTTATTTTATATTTTTAAAGTAATTAGTATAATTTTTTAATATTTCTAAATATGTTTTAATTGCAGTACAAAATATTCATGGCTGGTATAGGAAATTTTCAAGTAAGATTTGGGATAAATGATACTGCTCTTACAAGAGCACTAGAGACAAGTGATTATGAAAGAGCATGTACAATAATAGAAGAAAATGCTACAGATCCTGAATTTTTCAATGATGGTATGGTGTAATATTAATTTTTGTGTATTAATATATACTTACATATGTACACATAATGCTATTTAAATTATGCATTTGGTTGTTATCTCATCTATTACAGATATTTTATTTTATATGAAAAAATACAGGCTGATTCAGATTAAATGACAAATAGAATACAAAATTTATGCCAATTTGACTGTAGCAGACAGAATCAGAGCTTGTTTATTTATATATATACAGTAGAGCATCGATTATCTGAAACAATTTGGGGCTGGGGTTGTTCAGATAACTGACTGTGTACAAGAAAATATATTAACCTATCCCATGTTGAAATTTTTTTCTATTGCGTGTCGCTTTGTGTTGAATTTTCGTCAATGTTAAGCCTATGGAAAAATTTTTTTAAATAATAATCGTGGCTATTCTATAGTTAAAAATAATTTCTTTATTTTGCATAAACAAAATAAATATATTGAAAAATATAAAAACAAAAAGAATTATATTTCGGAAGTTAAACTAGTATCAAAATGTTCCGATTCAGTATGACAAACGTCCTCCCACACAGTCCTCAGAAAAACACAACACAAAACATGTAAAACTCACCACTCATGATGAGGGAAAAGTCTCATTCAAATACTGGCACATCCTTAAGTACCCTCTCATGGTTGTGTCAGTGCTGCCAGCTAAAACACGCACACCAACAAAAATAATATTGGAGTAGTCCAAGACATAACCAAATATTACAGCACAGCACTAGCAGAAATTTGAATTTGCCAACTGGAATGCTTTCAGTTAACCGATGTTTCGATTGATCAGTATTCAGATAATTGATGCTCTACTGTATAGCTTTTCCTCTGGTATAAACCATCAAAAGAGCAACTGGATCAAATTATTTATTAGAACAAAAAATTATTTACTATTAAGATAGTTGAATTTCACTAAAACATCAATAATGGTATAATGTCAGTTTCCATTTATTCAATTGTTATTAAAAATCATCAGTAATAATAATTTGTAATCTGTAACAACAATTTAAATAACTGCAAATCAAATTAAAGTCTATGTGTACCCTAAAACCTTGGCTGTAGGCTGCAGTCTATAAAAGATTATATTCATAAAATTTATTTTATGTAGCCAATACACAAGGACAATAAATATAGTAATACCCCGAACTTATGCGATAGGTGGGACTGAGTGATAACCACGTAAGTCGGGGTATAATTTAGCATATAAATACATACAAATAATTTTTAATTGGGGCCGGAGACTAAAGAAAACAATAATTTAGAAAAAAAAATGTTTAATAAAATCTTAGATAATGCATATGTATAACAAATTATGCCTATATTATTTTACAATTTTTCACATTTACTTGATTATTACGCCATAATTTTAACATTGTTTCCATCTCAGCGATAATACTGTGACGTTTACCAATGATGCTTGAATTTAAAGATTGAGCATTTTTCACAGCTTCGAGAATTTTTTTCTTTGCCTTTTATAATTGTTCTGTCCGACAATTCCGGTAGATCAAACTTCTTTGCCAATTCACAAATTTTCATTTTTGTATCGAAGTCTTTAATAATGGGTACGTTCGT